TAATAATAAAAAGACATTTTTTGTTGGCATTTTGGATTTTTTAGTTTTTAATACATAAAAAAATTTCTAATGTTTCAAAAAGGTTTAAAAAAATATAAGCATCTTCTTTAATTCAATAATAAGTTTTTGTTGTTATAAATTTTAGTCTTTATCAAAAAGTATTATATTTTACTTTAATTAAGGTTTTTGCCCACCTTAATTAGTAAGAAACATCAATTAAAATAAATTCTTAATAAAATGAAATACTGTAATTAATTAAAATATGTGTGCACGTTTTCCCAACAGTATTTTGATATAAAGTTAATATTTTTTAAATAAAATTTTGTTATTGATAAAAAAACATGAAATGTAATTCAGTTTATTTGGTTTCATGTTTTTAATAAAAAAACAACTTAATATATATTATTAAGTTAATTACAAGAAATAAAACCAACTTAATAACTATAATAATAAATCTATCTATAATAATAGATCAAATTTATAACACTTGATAAACTCATTTAGACAATTTCACATGTTTTTTTCTTTTTTTCTTTGTCAATTTTTTGGGGGTGTTTTTCTCCTGTTTTTTTACATTCCACAACACCATTTATTAATGTTAAAAAACATTCAGTGACATTTACATTGTTTTTTGCTGAAACTTCAAAAAATGGAACGCCCCATTTACTTGCCAATTTTTCTCCTTCTTCTTGAGAAACGACTCTTTCATTTTCCAAATCACTTTTAGTTACACACAAAATGATTGGAAATGGTTCTTCTGTTAAATATAATTTACGTTGAACAGCACTATAAACCGATTCGGTGTATTTAAAAGAAGAAATCGATGTTATTGAATAAACGATAATAAACCCGTCTGATTTCAGAATAGTGGTATAATCAAAACTATCGTAATCTTGTTCGGTTCTGATATCGTAAATTTGAACTGGAATAACATTTCTGTCAAGTAACACTTTCTTGAAGAACATTTTGTTGTCTAACAAGTCTATGTTCGCATAATATTTGTTTAAACAAAATTGATACACTAAAGCAGAACGGCCACAATGAACTTTTCCCAAAACAAGTGGACAAATCACATCTTTTGTATCATATATAATTGATGTTCTATAATTCATATTCATTTTAAAGATTTCGTAGGATGAAATTTAATTAAATTTTAATAATTCTCAAGTTGTGTTTAAACTTGTGTGGTTTTTGATTTAAAAACTTTTTATAATATTTTTAATAAATTTTTTTTAAAATTCATGGGTTATTTTTGGAATAATAAAAGATGTCTATGGTTGTTCAGCAATTTTTGGTATTATTCACAAATCTGGCGACTGTTTATAAAATTCAAAAGTCGCTGGACAGCAATTAACAATATTACCGACACTTAAATTCTTTTGATTGTAATATAATAAATATTATATTTTTATTATATTTTATTATAATATTATTATATAAATTAGTATAATTAATTATTATCAAAATATAAATATTTACTATATTCAATGAATAAAATTTAATATCAACATTGTTTAACTTTATTCATTGTAAATAATATCATATGTATTAATTTTATTTATTATATAAATAAGATTTGTCATCGATATAACAAAACACTTTATTATAGTCAATACAATAGTATAAATATAGTTAAAAATAATATAATGATTAAATTATATAAAAATAATATTGTAAACCATTATATTTAAAGCCCAACTTTCTTAACTTTTTTCTCAAATTACAAAATGAAAAATTTGTTTTTATTTATTGAAAAAGAGATAAAAACCAACTCAACCCGACATGTACTATTTATACTATTATAATAGTATTTGAGTATAGTTAAAAATATAAATAGTATAAATATAGTTTAATTCTAATACAATAAAACGGTTGTGAATGATTCAACAAAAAGTGAGAAAAAGCACTAAAAAAGAACCCTGCAGAAGAAAAAGAGAACTTGAAAACGGCACACATGCAACCGAATTTAAAACGCGAGATCAAGTCTATTGAATATTTATTAAATAATTACATTGCATTTGAAGAGCGCCGCGGTGAAGTATTTTTTTACCGCCCACTTGATAAACCGAACCATGGGACCATTGAGTCTCACATTCGTGCGACTGATGAGAACTATGATAAGACGGTTGAGTTGATTGAAGCGAAGAAAGATTTACAAATAGCCGTTCGCACGGTGAAAGAGGAGTTAGAAGGGCTAGTGAAGGTATTAGGTTCTGAGATTGATCGTTTAGAAGCGGACAGTTACAATGAGAAGTTATATGAGATGTATGAGCTTCGTGTATCTCTTATCGAGCAGTGGGCGACGTTCAAATTGACATCTCCTTACATGCCCTATGAAAAGGAGAGTATTGAGAACCTCAAAGTGACTCGAATTAATAAAATCCGGAACTCCTCCGAATATCTGAAGTGCAAGAAATTGCACGAAGAGCACATTAAAGTCCACGAAGACACTTATCAAGGGCCTCGTGAAGTCTTAGAAAAGGAAATTAGTGGGACTATCACTGCAATTGAGAGAGACGGCCTTACTCAGATCATTCAGAAATCACTCACAAACGTCCTCTTCGACTCAGACAAGGACAACTGGAACATCAACGTCTCCGTCTTCGACCAGAAAGTCCTTAACAAAGAAAATCCGTGCTTTGTTATCGAGGACAAATGCGGAAATAAATTCGGCGTATTGCTCACAGGAAAGTTCACAAAAGTCAACGAACCACATCAGTTCGGAAGGTGGATGTCCTTCTCCCTCGAAAAGGAAGGCGAACTCGAAATGGTCAGATTTGGAGTTCCAAACCAACCGCACACCGTGTTTAGTAAGGAAAAAGAAGAACTTGTCGTGTTTGGGAATAACGAGATCTGTTTGAAGAAAAGAAATATACTGTCGAAGTGTTTGAATGAGTATCGATATATCACTGTAAAGGGTTCGCTGGCATTTGTCATTAAACGGTTGGTTGTGTACCAATGGAAATAAATCACGTCTTTTGATTTTTCGTTATTTGTGGGGGTTTTGAATGATTTTGAAGTTCAGTTGGGAATTAAAAGATCTGGAACTAAAAAAGAAGGACTTTTTGAGTTTGTGGCAATGATGTGGTTTTTAAAATCGGTTTTAATTGTGTTGGAAATCATTGGGGGGTTTGTTTTTTTGATGGTTAAGTGTGGAAAGTGCGAATGAGCGAGGCACATTAAATTACAGAAAGAATTTGTTTGGGTTGGGAGTGTGTGTGGATATCTATAGCTTTTTGAAGGTCTTTAAGTATTTTCAAAATGACAGATATGTCACAGTTTGTGCACTTTCAATATGGATGATACTTGCATTCATTATTGGAACGATCACTATTTTACTTGTTGTATTTACATGCGGAATACATTCAATTATTAACTCCAAAAGGAAAATTGTTGGTTATGGAATACTTTTTATGGCGTTATTTATTATATCTGTTTTGCTCCTTTTCATGCCTTTTATGTACAAGTTACCTACTAGCGATATTAACAACAAAAAAATGTATGAATTAGAGGTTTGTTTTGTATTATTTATTATTGAAAAGATATGATATTAATATTAAATTAAATTACTATTATACTATAATACTATAATTTATATTAAAATTATAGTTTGTAATACTAGTTTATTTTTTTGTAATATGTAATTTAATAATTATTATTATGAATTAATAAAAATTTTGTATTTATTTAAAATGGCATAGCATAGGCATGAATGTATTTTTGTATGATTAAAGCAACAAGTTTATCTCAAAAATATCATATAGTGTTAATACTATATATGTTTGTCCAATCTTTTTAATATAAACCTTTTATTAATATTATATTAATAAATTCTATAAAACTATAATATATACTTTGTTTTATGTTTTATTATAATTTTAAAACTTTTAAATAATACTTTATTATTGATATTAATCTTTGAATATTATATTAATAATAATAAATATATTCTACTATAATTGTATAACATATAGCACAATTGCTGTTTTGACATGAATTTAAATGAAATGGGAAAATATGTGTCGTGTGGGTGTCAACAAAATTTTGACAACACGACAAATAAATACAGTAGATGTGATAACTGTGAAAATCTTACAAACCCAATTATGATACCTTATATCTTTGCCGTTGTTGAAGTCTTCTACTCTCTTTTAGTCGCAGTTGTTATGGCAATATCATCAATTGTGTTGTCAGCCAATTTCAAAAACACAGGAAGATAAAAATGAATATAAAGAATTACAGAAGAGTCACTGAATAAGTAATTTTTTTTATTTTAAATAATAGATGGTTATTATAATTAAAAACAAGTTTGTTACAATATTATGGTTTTCTCAGAATTTTATTAAGTGTTTTATACAATACACTTGAAGTGCACAAGAGTAAAAAATATGATAGCAAATAATATAATTTTTGTGTATTTAAATATTATTTTAATAAAAAGTATCTTGAAGCTAAATATAAATAAACAGGTTCTAAAATTGACAACAAAAACATTGTAAAAAATTGATTATCGATTATTTCATATTTCTTGTTCCACACCTTGTATTTTTTGTAAATGTATCTTTCTTGTTTTTTTATGTTTTTTTTTCTTAAGGGTTTCTTGAGGATAAGGTGTATCCTCAGGATTAAAGCTATCCTTATTAAAAAATATTTTTCTGAGGATACAAAAACAAATCCATAAGGTTCAGTTCCCCATAAAGCCCACTCTCATAACTCAAGTTATAATTTACACTAAATATTTCGAGTCAAAGTTCGAATTTTAAATAATGGTAATAATTTGTCATAAATGCCAAAAAATTAAATACAATCAAAAAATCGCCACAATAATCAGTTAACAAAAACAATAATTATATCTCGCCAACTTGAGACGGGAAATAACAAAACATGAATTAAACTTGTTCATATTATGATTATATACTTATTGAAATTATTTCCGAATCCGTCTTTATAACATAATAATTGAAATTTACGTTTAAATTGATAATTGTTTTTCAATCAAAATGAAAATTGAAAAAGTCGAAAACACTGATTTAATAATAATGCATTTTTAAAAAAACAAATTTATTAATAATTTTGTAATTTATGCAATTATTCAAATTTATTGTAATAACAAAGTTAATCATATTGTGTATATTTTAATATGAATGTTTTATTTTGATATTAACTTATGTTTTAAACAAATATACAGTTCTGAGGATGGCAATTATTTTCTGAGGATGACAGAAATAGAAAGTTTACACTTTTACATCCATCTGAAATGTATATTGAGTAAGTTACTATTTTTGAATATGGGAACACGTCATTTCACTTTTTAGATGTTTAAGTCTGTGTTGACAATGTCTGTTTGTTACACAACTTACCATCCTCAGAGATATGTATAGCACTGCCATTATTGATTTAAAATTCTATAAATAAAATTATCAAAGAATTATTATAAAGTGGGTTTTGTTAATTGATTATATCAAAAATCGTCAAAACACAACAAAAACGCCAAATAATATATAAAATTGATTAATAAATTGAACACATTTCTATTGAGAATAAATATTGTATAATAAAAAAATAATATAAACATATATTTCTTGTGTATATATGTTTTAAAAAATAAATAAAACAGTTTATAACAAAAATGATTTTATTTTAAAAATTTGTTTATTTATCAATCGTTGTTTCATCGATATCCAAAACCTCTCTTTTTGAATTTGCGCAAATACATAAATTGTCATCGCATAGAGTATACGTTATCAGTACGTTATTTGCTATCAATTTTTATTGTTTGAAATATCATGAATTGATTTATAATTAATTGTAGTTTTTGTGAAAAAGATTAAAAATTGTTTGATTAATTTGTTTTGTGATTTTAATAAATAAATCGACTTTTTCGATAATTTAAATGTCTGTCAAATGTTTTCATATAAACCAAGGTTAGTCAAGTGGTAAATCAAAAAATAGAAGTAGATTTTTTTTTGTAAAAATCAACTGAAAGAATCATCTTTCAAAAAATCCATAAATAGCATTTTTAAAGAAAATCATGTGTTTCAAAATATACCTTTTTGATCTTAGGCAAAAAAATCCAAATTGAAAGAAATTATGTTTAAGATATTTACCATCCTCAGAAAAATTAACAATCCTCATGAATCCCTTTATAATATTGATAAAAATATAGTTTTAGGTAACTTTATTAAAGAGTTGTAAATAAAAAAAGTGTAATATCGTTTATACACGTTTTTAATAATATTAATAGATTAAGAATGTTATATATTAACAATAAAAATCAACATTTGTTCTATTATTAAAAATTGGAAAGTGTTTTTTAACAATAATAATTTTTAATAAAAATTGTTTTTAATATCACATTTAAAAAAGTTTGTATTAGATGTTTGTGTTGTTTAAATCAGAATTAAATCAAAAATAAATTAAAGTAAAGAGCATCTGTTTTGAGTTGGTTTCTTCGAGTGAGCATCATTTTTGGGGGAGATGACAGCTCTGACTGCTTCATCAAAAACCAGTCTTAAATTCTTTTGTGTGAGAGCAGAGCATTCGATGTACTTCACTGCATTGATGTCTTTGGCTTTTGCTTCACCCTGTTCAGTGGTGATCGGGGATATCTTCTTTTCTTCGAGTCGCTTTAATTGATCTTTGTCTTCTCTCATGTCCAACTTTGTCCCAACAAGGAGGCAAGGAGTCTTGGGGCAATGATGAACAACTTCGGGTTGCCATTTTGATGAAACGTTGTCGAATGAAGGCGGCGAGACAACACTAAAACAGATCAAAAAGACATCTGTTTGTGGGTATGACAATGGGCGCAATCTGTCGTAATCCTCTTGCCCTGCAGTGTCCCAGAGTCCAAGATTGATTGGTTTTGAGTCAACCATCACTGTTGCACTGTAATTGTCAAAAACTGTTGGTATGTATTCATTTGGAAAAGCGTTGGTGGTGTAACTGATAAGAAGACATGTTTTCCCAACAGCTCCATCGCCAACTATGACACATTTAACTGCTTGCATTTTATGTTTTGTGTGTTTTGGTGTTGCTTAAATACTCTTACCTTAATAACAATTTCTATAATTTATTATAAATAAACTATAATAAGTAAATATAATAAATCTATTTTTGCAAACGGGAAGACTGACTCAAAAACTAAATATACAATATGTTAAATAATATATTACAACCTTTTGATTAACTAACAGTTTTTTTATGATTTTACATGTAATATATCCCACATATTACCGTTTGTAATTTTATACAATTTGGAACAAATATTATACAATTAATATTTGTATTGTTTTTTGACAGACTGTTGTTAAGTTTGAACAAAAAACAGATTACTTTCGTTTTACTGGTTTTATTTTTATTAATAAATAAGAATCGACTATTCGAATTTGTAAAGAATATTCAAAACGATGAAAAAGAAAAACTTTTCTATATCACCAATATTTCTTTTCTATTTAACTTTGTGTTTTTATAAAAATTTAATTGAGTTGTAAATTTGATATTTCAAAACGTGTTGAATAAATGACCATCTGCATGATTAATTATAAGTTATGTTTACGTACATGATTTTTTAATTCAACATTCAAATAAAAAATTTTAATATGTTCACAACAAAAGGTAAATACTGAAAAACAATAAGATGAACCACTACAATTTATATATTATTGTTTTGATATTTTTTAATAACAATTGATATTTTGGATTAAATTTGGCACATAGTTGTAAACATTATACTTAATACAGTGTTTGCATAAACTCCTTTACAGTTTAAAAAGCGTTCAAAAATATATATTAATTAGGACAACATGGACTAAATGTGTTGATTTAAATTGTAGAGTTTGCACTTCAACAACAACTTCACGTTGAATTGCTCATAAAAAAGGATATTACATAGACGGTAAGACATGTAGTGCTTATAAATAAGATTAATTAACAACAAAAAAATAAGTGTGATAAATGAGAAACTGTATA